CTGTAATGTGAAAACAGTCACTCTACGCAAAACAAAAGTTGTTAAGCATTAAATTCTGCGTTCAGTGAGCATAGAAATTTTAAATTTGGATCAGTATATACGCATATACCGATCATTTCTTCATTTTTCCTTTAAGCGCTAATTTGATCAATATGAAGGAGTTTCGGAAACTTTTGTGTAAACTGCAATAATCTTACAAAATCCATGAAGCGGTTGAGAAGATGAACCAAGAAACACAATTCAACCACACAATGATACCGACGGTGTCTCAAGAAAATTTTCTGTGTAATGCCGAAAACAAAAGTCGCTTAATCACCATGCGATTGTGGGGGAAGATGTGAAGCTGCTGGTAATAATAATGGATCTTAACACTTCTCCAAACGTCTATCTACTGAAGGCAGGGAAATGGAAAGCGCCTCAGTTGCTGTACCAACCACAGTGTGAAGTGAAACGAAATTTTGTCAAGCACATGATGTATCTGAACGCGATGAGTGGATGCAAGACTAAATTCTTGAAGACCCTCTCTAAATATCGAGACCTTGAAGTTCGTTGGAAAATTCTTGGATCCGTCAGTCCAGCCAACGGCAACGGCTGCTGCTGGAGAAAAATTTTTGCTAGCCCTGTACGGGGATAACCATCTTACAATTTTCTTAAATGCGCTGCGATACAAGCAGTATGTGACATCTGCCTACAAGTTTTCCAGCAACATTACATCTATACCTTTTATCGATGCTGCAGCAAACCAGCATAACTTGCGTGTATATGTACAAGTGCAGCAGTGGCTCAGCAACAGTTTGGATCCGAAGCTGTGGGATTGGAAGTCAACCAAAAATGGTCTAATCCCTCTCACCAATCTGAAACCCCCGGCTCCTGACAAACTAATGCAGCAAATATCATGAAAATGCCGCACTGACTTTGGTGGGCATTGTGGATGCAGCCGCATAGGTCTGTTCTGCACCCAAGTCTGCATCAACTGTGCCGATTCCTGCACCAACGTAAACAAAAGAACCGACGTCGATGAGCCAGAAGACGAACTTCCGTTTGCTGCACCACTGTCGGAGGCAGGTGAGACTTTAGAAGGTAATTTATGTGCTATTTTACAACACACAATCTCAATGATTGCTTTCAGTTGAAGAACCGCCATCCCAGCCTGCCACTCCGAGTGCCGAAGAGCCTGAACCTGGACAATCATCGCCCATTGAAAACCCTACGCCCATACTTTCCACAGTCCCAGCCAAACTAAGGAGAGTCAAATAAAATGGATATTGCCATCAGGTATTTTTTAGATTGTATCTTTACACTATATTTCAACTTACTTGCTCTTTTTCCCAGCTGACTATATGGTGTTCCCATGATTTTTCATCAAATATATAATAAGAAGTTACTTCTTTTATCTTGTAACTCTAATTATAATATATAAGTAAATATTTTTTTATCTAAATGGGTACTAATTACTTATTACATCAACATAATACTTATAAATCCTCAAGTCAGATTTGCAATAAAAGGAGGGGGAAGGAATTTAGGGTTGGGAAGGGAGTTTGAGAGAAAGGGAGGAATTGGCACTTCAATTAAGGGTTGGGAAGAGGAGTTTGAGAGGTGGGTGGTTCATATTGACAGCACAGAGTTGTTATTATTGAACCCCTGCATATTGGTCAAATAAGCGTTTAAAGAGAAAATGGAAAAATGATCAGTACATGCGTATATACTGATCCAAATTTAAAATTTCGGATTTACTGAACGCAAAATTTGATGCTTTACAACTTTTTTTCTACTAGTTTTTTACGTAGAGTAGCTGTTTTCACATCACAGATCTGTAAGAGTGAGTTTCTTGCAGTTTTCACAAAAAGTTGCTAAAATTGGCTTTTTTCGACCGGCGATAGCAACCTTATAAACCGGTCCAATTTAAAAGTTATGGAGGTTTTTCGATGCAAAATTCGTTGCTCTTTAACTTTGAATAGAACGACTTTTTTTCGTATAATACATTGTTTTCATGGTATGAACGGAAAACAAGAAAAACTGAGAAATTATGTCAAGGAGTGATAACGTTAGAGAATTTTAGAAATCAAACAATTCCCTGGTATTTTCGCATTAATAGACGAAACAAATAATCCTGTAAAAAATCCTGGTAGAGATCTAGGAGAAGTTTTTCGTAATAGAAAGGGAATATTCTCTCTTAATATTCATGTTGTCAAAAAATGTTTTAGTCTTTAGGTATTGTTTTGAAAACCTACTATTTATAGGTGGCCTCTCAACCAGCTATATGGAAATATTAAACATTGTGGTACGTTATCCAGGCATGATAATGTAATATTTCAGAAAAGTTCATTAAGAATTAAATATTAAAATAATGAAATACCTAATAAGTAAATAAACTTAACTTATTGCTATTTGGTAAAAGTAATTACTATAATTATATTGGGAGATAATAGATACGCCTGCCGAACGTACTTATTAACTCCTGTAATTAATCCAATTACTAGGGCAGAAAGAAATTATAATCAAGCTCACAAAAGAACTGGAAATATCGTGAAACATGTGTTTGGGATTTGGAAACCAAGATTTTCTTGCTAACGAAAAACTCTAGAAACAAAGTTGCAAACTTCAGTTATTATCATTTGTGCACTAGCTGTTAATAATATAGCAAAAAATGGCCCAGATCATATGGAATATGATGATGATGATGATAATGATGCTAATGATGATGATAAGGATGATAATGAACATAAAAATGATTTTGTTATTGACGATCCCAATGCTAATAGACTTCTCTACCGAAGGGTTTTTATACAAACATATTTTGCGAACGAATTCTTAAATCATTCTATATAGTAGTATTTTGTTTTAAAAATGCACTATAAACTTTGTTTTACAGATAAGGAGAAAAACATTAAATCTAAGTTTTATTCCGACCTAAGGTGAAATGATTAGATTTTGGACACGGTCGGAACATCTGGGGGATACTTTAGAGGGGTTCGTTTTTATATTTATTAGAATATATCTGTTAGTAACATTTAGAGATTTTTTTTTTAAGTTACTTTCAATATTATTCTCTATAACTGTTGTCCTTTCAAAAAAAATTCCTAAAATGGTCCGTATTCGAGAAATTGACAAAATGTAAAAAATTCAAATTTTTAAGAAAATTCTTTAAATAAAAGTTGTTTCTTATATTATTTTTTATAATTCTTGTTTTATACATAATTTCTGTAAAATGGACCGTAATTGAGATATTTGAGAAAATGTGTAAATTTCGATTTTTCAAGAAAACTCAAACTAGAAAAAAAAAGAAAAACACCTTATTTTAGAAAAAATTTTAAATAAAAGTTACTTCTAATATTAGTCTTTATAATTTCTGTTTTATGTATGATTTCTCTAAAATGGATCGTAATGGAAAAATTTTGAGGAAAAGTGTAAAATATAAATATATATAAACATAAGTGATGTATCATCCCTAATAAAAATGTCTAAACTGCTTTTTCAATGGTTTATTTCACGATCAAGTATTCTCAATTACAATGTTGCTGTGGTATTGCCACTGTCTATTCGCGTAATATTCACTGCGCTGGTCTGCCTTTTCCCGCTCGTCCATCCTAACACGCATGAGTATGAAATTCAAGAATGTGTGGTGGGAGCAGAGAAATACCGCTGCTAACACGGCCATCCTGCAATTGGTGCGTCCTCGCGCCACATATCTGGAATTACAAAATACGAAAACAGAACTACTGTCACGACTTATGAACATTATCACTAATGTTCTTTTTAAACACTAAACTCTAGTGTTACTTTATTATCATAATTTATTCAGGAAAATTTGGTGGGATTGCCACCCTAACACTAAACACTAGTGCTACAACACCAAACAATGGTGTTACTTTATTATCATAATTTATTCAGGAAAATTTGGTGGGATTGCCACCCTAACACTAAACACTAGTGCTTCAACACCAAACACTGGTGTTACTTTATTATCATAATTTATTCAGGAAAATTTGGTGGGATTGCCACCCTAACACTAAACACTAGTGCTACAACACCAAACACTGGTGCTACTTTAATATGATTTCTTTAATTAAATTTGGTGGGATTGCCACCTTAACACTAAACACTAGTGCTACAACACCAAACACTGGTGCTACTTTAATATGATTTCTTTAATTAAATTTGGTGGGATTGCCACCCTAACACTAAACACTAGTGCTACAAAACCAAACACTGGTGCTACTTTAATATCATGATTTCTTTAATTAAATTTGGTGAGATTGCCACTCTAACACTAAACACTAGTGCTACAACACCAAACACTGGTGTTACTTTATTATCATAATTTATTCAGGAAAATTTGGTGGGATTGCCACCTCAAGTTAACAAAAACATTTTTTTTTAATTTAATATTGTGGGATTTCCACTTACCTTTTTTATAATTACTTCGATAATCATAGCAACTGATCTTAAGCGGCTACAGTTGTTCGCTGTCGCTTTTTGTGAAGTTGATATATTTCATGTGGTAATACCTCTCGAACAGTGTAAAGGCCCTTTTCATTTATGCCTCAGTTTTCCTCTACCAGGATTTTATTCTTGTAAAATGTTAAAAGTTTCTTCACTTGTATTTTTAAAGTGTCTTTTAATTTTATTTGATTAATTTTCATATCGTTTAATTTTTTTATTGTAAACATTTTCGGAATGTAACTCAATCGTGTTGACATTTTTTTTCAACACCTAAACAAGGTCGGTATATGACATTGCTTACAATAATAATGTCAAGTCAACATCTTCAGGAATCACATTATTTGAAACGACCTTTAACGTAATAGTCGGCAAAATCACAAAGATCGATATTCTAAACATCTTGAAATCCAATTCATAACAAAATCACATGCATCAGCTGGTCTAATCGTTCCTTTTAATGTTTTTACTACGGAATGTTTAATTATTAAACTGTCAGCATCACTCTCAATAAGGTATTTTAATGACTGAGTTTGTTCATAGTATAATAACATGGCTATCGGTGTCGAATTTAGATAGCGTCACTTTTTTTTAACACAAATGTTTTCTTAGGCTTTTTTGTTTATATCAACAATTGGATTCGGCTTGGCCCATTTTTTACAATTATTGCACTAAAACGTCGGATTTTTTTATGAGTAATAACCGCGTTAAATGTACTCGCCTGTTATATTCTCCGACAATGATTTTTTTGGTGTCTCTGGTGGTCTCATTTAAAGAAAGGTACATTTAAGATTTTGTTTGGCTTGACACGTTCGGCTTCTCGTCGATCTTTAAACTGACTTCTTGGGTTTCTAATGATATCTGCATTTTTCGTCATTCTCGAGGTCAACACGGATCGCATCAAATTCATTTGGTAATTTTATGAGCTCACCATCCACGTTCGGAATTTGGCTTTTGAGTTGTCTAAACCGGAACTGAATGCCACAGCAAAGCTTTATAAAATTTAGGGGTGATCCACAATTTTTGATTTTCACAAACACCGTGAGTTAGAATCACGGCTTTAATGTCTAGCCGCCTTGTATTCACGAGCAGCTGATGTTTCCTTACCAGCGAATGCAACAATTAGGTCATCACAAAACTTTTGTCATGTTCGAGAAAGAAGTCGCCAGTCACAATAATAACAATAACCGCGAGTCTTAGATGCGTCGCTCGATTTAGCGACCATAAAGTTATCTCTAACGCTTAATTCGGCTTTTGTTTTGGTTAGCGTCAATTAAGCCATTCTTTTATGGAATATGCGCTATCGTCAGAGTCATAGCTGGTAAGTCGAAAACAGTGCACAGGCGTGAATGTTGGCGCTTGCGTGTTATATTAATCTGCTCCTGCAACACTGAGCGTTGGCTTAGCGAATGGCTACGTCGCCATCTTGGAATGTTGAGTTCAATCAGCGATTTAT